TGCTTTTGAATGTAGTTTTCTTGCTCTACCTTCAGCCAAATGTCTTCCAAAATAGTTCTAAAAGCTATGATAGAAATTAAACTTTATTGAAACAGTTTTTAATACACTTTGGTCCTACCCATTCTCCTGTTCAGTTTGGAGTATGTTCACATGTGTTTTGCTGGTAAAACAAAAAGTTACGCTTGTGTTAAGTGGATGCATCTATTCCTTTAATTTTGTGAACTGCATCTGAAAATGTTTGCAGTGAGTTTTGAAAGTATTTGTGATCCTGCATTTAAGTAAAAGAAAACAAGTTCTTATCCAATATATAAACAATCTTTTTATTTAATGAATTCTGTTTGATCTATTAAAGCACAATTGTTGTGAGAATAAAGCCTCTGAGGGAAGATTAATATATATTTAGATCATTAAAAAATTATGTTCTTTCTCTTATACCTAGCTTGAAAAATAAAATTATGGAAAGAACTGAGTAATACTGCTCTGAAAGCTTTTACTTTTTAAAAAACTCAAAACTTCCCTTTGAAGCCTAAAGTAGAGGTTATGCTGCATACTGAAAGATGTTTTGGTCACATAGATCATGCTTTTGAATAGATGACTGTGCTGAAAGCATAATTCTTTTTACTAGGAACAGTTCTAAAGCCACAGAAGATGAGTAGGAAGAGGACTGAGTTGATATACACATATTCATCTCACATCCCGGTTGATTTTTTTTCTTTCCAATGTTTGTTGTTTAACTGTGCCATGTTGCAAGAGGCCACAATATAAATTATAAGAAGAATGTTTGTCATAAGAATTACCATTTCCTAGAGGCATAGTTTATTTTCATATCTTTCAGGATTTGATTGTGGGTTTTTTAGACATTAATTATTAGTATAAACTTAAAGTAAAACTCAATTAAAAATAGAATAATGTGGAACTGGAATAGGTAAGATTTTTTTCTCTCTGCGTGATTTAGAGGATTTCATCACAGCAATGTCTGAATATTAACTTTATTCAATTTTCTTAGTTATGTGTTTGTTTGTTGGTGTTCTATGATTTTTCTGAGGATTTTCCAGGATGACCTTCTGATAATTTCATTAACTGTAGATTCCATGAGACCAGAATCCTTAGAGAAGTATAGTGCACAAATATCTTTATTAATTAACAAAATTACTGTCAAGAGCATTTCACAAAGGGAGAAAAAGCCTTATTTTGAAAAGTTAATTAAAACATGAATTCTGTAATGAATGTTCTCTCAGCCTCTATTAAAAGAGGAATTTTTCACATAAACGTTTAATATTAGGTGATTGTAAACACTCCAATAGGACAATAGCAGAGTTATGTGACTCCCTAGAAGGACTTTTTTCCCTGTTCTATCTCTTTTACTATTAATTTAAAATAAATATAATAGCTAAAGATGTTATTTGAAAGGAAGTGTTCTTAATTCTTACAAGTGCTATTTTGGGGCATTGTTGCTGTTATCACATAAATTTTTGTGTAAGTCTAATCTGTTTGGAAGTGAACTCATCTACTTCCTGTGTGTTTCAGCCCAACTATTTAGAATTTGATCACCTCACACTAATGTGCTTATCTGGAGCATGCAATAAAACTGGGAACTTGGTAGCGCAGGCGTGTTCTGAACAGGAGGACAACTACTTGGTTTCTGTTGTCTTTTCTCTTTAGTTGCAATTATACTGGCAGAAAGTATATTGCCAGAGGTGATCCTGGGGTACTAAGGATAGGCGCAAGTTCACTGTTCCAATTGTAGAGGAAACTAATATAGTTTCAGACTCCCTCTCAAGGCAGACAGCTACACTGTTTTTCAAAAGATACCAGTTCTTTGGTAGGCATTTGCCTAAAGTCAGCACATGCTTGGACTCAGAAGGTAATTGTAGGAGAGGATTATGTGGACCATAAAGAAGAGCTGTCCTGCTGTTAAATTGTGTCAGTGTGAAAGTTCTGATCGTTTGAGAAAAAGCAATTGTATCTATTATTTTGAGACATCTAACACTGCATTTAGACATTAGCAGTAGGTTCTTTTGGAAATAATTTATTCTACTCATGTAAAATTCCATATAAAGGAAACCACTGAAGAATCAATGCAAAATAATAGGAAATACAGTAAATCAGATGTTAATACTTTCAAAGGGAAGATTAGCTTCTTGAGATGTACAGGATTTTGAAGGTAAAGACAGCAAATGCTGTTAAGAAAGAAGACTGTTGGAGGTTTCAGGTAAACCCTCTGAATCAATAACAGTGTTTCTCCTTTAGTGATTCTGAAACATCCTTATGATTAGATAGTCTAGATTAACCTTGGTGTTGTGTTTTTTTCAAGTTTGATTTTACAAGGGATTTAATGACCTTTTTATAAGCTCAGGCTAAGTGAGAGTACCAACAGGTCACGGTGTCCTATAAACTTCATTTTTGGGTGAAATGGAAATGTCCTTCTGTGACCCTGACCTCAATTTCAACACCTCCCTATAGCAATTGAAAAGTTTCCCAGCCTGGATCAGAGATAACCAAAGCAAGTACTGCTGAGGCTGTTAGTCACACCTGCTCCATGCCATTTACATGCTTCATCAAGCATGGAACCATGTCAAGGCAATAGCTGTGTAAAATTGCTTTGAGAATCTACTGCATCCTTTGAGAAAGAAGGGATGGATATTCCCTTACTTGCTGAATGGATCATATTTTCTGAGTGAGGAGGATTTGAACCGTTTGGGGTTTTGTTATATGACTGTTCTGAATGTAGGAGCTACTAAAGGGAATGCTTGCTAACTGAAAGCAGCTATCAGATAACACTAAAAACTGGTTCAGGGTAACCAATAGGCATGTTCAATATGAAGAAATAGCATTGGCTTTGTGGAGTGTAGAATATTTGGACCCAAGTGTGCTCTGGTCTATTTAGTGTTCACACCTCAAATGAAGCAGTAAGAATTTTCTGCTTATTTTGGAAGAAAGCTTTAGTTATGGAAAGCACTAGGTCAAAACCAGTGCCAGCTGCTAGAATTCAGTACAGCCCTCCTTACAGCTTGTGAGTTACACATCTGTATCTTTCCTATGCTTGCAGCAGAGCAGGTCTGCACCGCCCTTTGTTGAGGCTTAATTGGGGATATCAGACTAACCATAAAGTTTTCACCTGGCAAGCAGATAGAGACACAGCACCAGACTACTCACATACATAAACATACAGTCCAGAAGTACTTGGAGGTAATACATCTTTTCCGTAGGAAAACAAGAAAGTCAGTGATATTACTGATAAAAATACAGATTTGTTGGTTTTTTTCTTTTTAATTAAAGTTCAAAGATATTTTCCAAACAGTTGTTTTCATCACATATCTTATAGCTTTTATCTTAGAATGGGTTTGTGTGAACTGGCATAACACTACAGTGCTCAAGTTGAAAATCCTATGGTAGAATACTTCGCCATCTAAAGAAAAAAAAATTTTTTTAGCATGCAGATGTTTTATTGGTCTTGAACTTGTTGGTTTTTTTAAATCAAAGGATTGATATGACACTTTTATGTAATAGTATATCCATATGTAGTATCATCTCTGTAAGCAGCTTGTTTTGTAATTGTGTGAGTATGTAGGAAACAATATTAATACAATGATATCCCTACTGACTTCTGGTGTTAGTGATGAGCAAATGTTTTAACAAATAGCTTATTTGGAAAAAAGTAAGCTTCAGGTCTACCAACTTTAAGTATGGGTTGAATTCAGAAAACAGTTTCTCTTCTCATCTCTTTCCTCTTCTGAAAAGAGATGGGGAAAAAAGTAATAAAAATCAAAGCCTTTCAAACTGAAGTATTTCAGAATTTATACAAGCTCTTTTGAAATTAAGATCACAAAATTTTTAATTCATACACAAAATTGAAAAATTAATTATTGCACTTATTCAGGAATTCTCACAGGTACAAAATTATTCACATAAGATCTGCAGGAGCATGATTTAACTATGATTATTTGTGCTTGCAGCTTTTGTTATATTTAGAAATATCTTAATGATTAAACATTTATGAGTAAATCTCCTGTGAAAGTCAAAACCACTAGACTTTAGAAAGTATACTGTAGGTGGAGTTGTGCAAGTTTCTTTGTGGAACTGTGCCATTACATGGGAATCTGAATCTCAAAAGTCCTCTTTATTCAGATACTGGGCTCCTCAAGAGTAGGCTTTTGGAGTGTCAACTGAAAATGAGTTTTCAGAACTTACTTCTCTTTGAGAACAAAACTTGTTTCAAAACTAGTGTCTCACAGAGAAAATCTAGTGAGCTTAACTCTCTGTTGTCTGGCATCTCTATACTTGAGAGACTGTTCTCCAACGAAGCAGTAGCATTTTTTACTGTCATGTTTAACAATTTTCAGATTTTTGTATCTTTTCTTTTTAAGATGTTTTCTTAAGTATACAGCTGAGGAGACCAATAACAAAAGGATAAATCCATAGATGATGAAAGGATTTTCCTGAGCTTAGTAGTTAACATAATAGTTTGAAAAGAAAAGAATTTACAAGTATTTGTTCAAATGCACTATGTAGAGAATGAATAAAATAAACAGCAAGATGTGTTGTGATAGGAACTCAGATGATCAAAGGGAACTACTGAATAGGCATAGTTATTCTTTCAGATAAAATAAGGAAGTAATTCCTTTGAGAGTTTTTGTGATCATTTCTGTTGGAAAACTTTGTATGCATTACTCAGAAATTCAATGAAGAGAAAAGCAATACAGCCTAGATAATAGTGTCAGCTTTGAGCACGAGGTGGCATGTGGACATAGCTTGAGCTATTTCTCCAAATCATTTGAATGGAAATATTGGATTAGTTAACCTTGTGTCAGGTCTGTTAGTTAAATAAACCCTCCAACTGTTCCTGACTGAAGGATGCATAGTTGTGACTGAAAGATGCTGCTGCTTTTCATTAGAATTTTGTCAAACATATCCTGCTAACATAATGATTTTAAAATAAAATGGTTTATTCGATGGAAAAGGATAACAAGCAGAAAATTCACATCCTTTTATTTTCACAGGGTGTTTCAGCCCAGTAGGAAATCCTCTTAGCCGAACACTATTGGGTAGACTACAGACGGTAAGGAATTCTATCTTTGCATTTTTTTAAATTGATGTTTAACTATAAAATGTCATTATTCACAAGTTCTCATTGTAGAGAGGGGTTTTTTTTATTCTTTTTTCACAAAAGAGGTATCTTCAAGCAAATTGTCTACATGGGCAAATAAGCTTTTGCTGCAGACAGCTGGTAGCAAGATCAGACATCTGTAAATTAAAAGCTTTGTATTTTTTCATGATTTACTTTTTATTGTTTCAACATAAATAAGCTAAAACCACAGTCCTTTGTTTTTGACTATTGATAAGGCATTGATAAGTAGGGAGAGAAAACTGGGACAGTAACTTGAAATTGAATCCTATTTGCAGCACCATTGTTTACTCATACTTCACATTTTGTAACAAGTGAAATCACAGCTATCCTCTGTTGATTTAATTGCTTATCTGTTAAATATTGATTGGAAACTTCTAGTAATTATATTTGTTCCTTTATTTCTGTTTTCCTGATCACCATAATAAAAATCCAACGGAATCTTTAAATGCTATTAATTTCAACTATACACTTGATAAAACTGGATTAAGCACAAAATGTATGGAGAGACTAGTGATGGGAGAGAGAGTGGTGCTTCGGAATATTGGATGTATGTGTGGCTCTAGAAAGCTGGGCCTGTTGTACTGGAGATGTTAATCCTCCTGCACCCATGGACAGAATACCACGATTTAATATTCTGTCTTAATTGCATGCTAATTGTAATTTTTCAGAGAAATGTTAGAAATGGACATAAATTAACTTGGATTACTTATAGGTGTTTTACAGTATGGATTTGGGATTTTGGTTTGGGCTTGTTTAGGGGGTTTTTTGGACCTACCTTATTTAACCAAATTTGTTAATAGAGCTGTGGAAGGCTTATAAGGTACATAGGATTCACCAAGAAATTTTGGAAGTAATGGTTTTTACATTGCTGTTTTGTTAGCTGCTAAATGGTTATTGTTTTCACATTTCCAATTTTTTAGCCATCACTATGTAATTTTTAGGAAAAAGTATAAATTGTTCAATCAGTTCTCCATCACAGCAAGCTCTAGAAACATTTACACGATCAACTGTTTTAGAAAATACTAAATAGCAGCTAATTTAAAATATATTTTTTCTGAGATGGTTAAATTAAGGTTTTGAAAATTTTTGTTACTTTTTCTGTTATAAATGTAGTAATATATATGTTATAAGTGCAGGTAAGAAGAGTAATTTATATCAGGGCAAGTAGCATATTAACAAATGACAAAATGGTTGAAGAGGTTCTGAATCATTTCAGGAGTTGGAGTATTTCAGTAGCTTGTGAATTGATCTTTTTTCCCTTTTTTCTTTTCTTTCTTTTTTTATCCCTCAAGGATTTACTGCAGCAGCTGTGTTTGCATTTCTGTTTTCTGTTTGTACATTGCAGGTTTCAATAAAGTGCAGTCTGGCACAGTTTTGTTTTTTTTCCTCTAGGCAGATTATAGATTCCCATGCTAATTAAATATTGAAGGGCTGTAATCAAATAAGGATTGTATTCATCTGAAGCCTAAGGAAGTAACTTTACAGTGTCTATATACAGATTAATTAAGACCAAAGAAGAGTACATTATTCTTAGCAATTAATACTTTTAGAATCATTTTAATTTAGCTGTTAATACCGTTATTGTACTTCTGTTTCCAGTAGACTAAATTTGTACAGTTAGGTGTCCTGATCTGGGAGTGACAATTAATTGGACCAGAGAAGAAGAACAGAAATACAACAGTGCTAACAATATTCAAATATTTTATGCTAAGTCTCGGCTTATTTAGCATTTCATTTAAAACTTCAATTTCTGGAGTAGAGTGATTGCATGACATTCTTAGGGAAGGAAAGGATTAAATAAATTTCTAACCCTCGGGTTCATAAGGAAAAATGAAAACAATGAAGCAACTGTAAAAACTCGGGTTGATTCTGTAAAATTTTTAAAAGTTTTAAATATTATCTCACTCTTAAGCCAGTGGTGGGTTTTCTGAGCACTGTAAGGTAATTTCCTATTTTATCTGCTTAAACAAACAAACCAAAACAATCTACCACAAAACAAAACAACAATAACAAAAAAGCCCCCAAAAGGTAACAGTGTCAGAACCGAGGCTATCATTATGCACTAAGGCACAGATTTACTGAACAGGCAAGAGAAGCTTTAACACTCATTCCCTGTGTCTTTACTGGAGTGTTTGCACTGGTAACACTCCCGGTTTCTCTTCCATTCTGGCAGATAGCAGGTACAGGGAGATGGAGTGGAGAGAGGCAGTGGCACTGTGCAGCATCCCAGAAATAGGTGTTTGTCCTTCTTCATGTCACTGAGTCTGTCACTCTGTGGGAAAAGGAGGGAGGGTGGCTTTGGCCCTGTATGCACACACATTGGGGTTCACCCCCGTATGTGTAGTGTCTGCTTAAGATTAATCTTAGAAAAGCTTATTTTCCAAGTGTAGTTATTATGAGTTAATGACTTATTAGAAGTGGGACTTAATCTGTATGTTTATTCTGTTACAATGAAGAATGTGTTTGTATATGAAACCACTAGTAGGCTTTACATTTTTCCATGTTTTTTCTTTAAACTTTGGTATTGTGTTATTTGAAATATATTTGTTCAGTAGTAGAAACGAAATGCAGAAATTTTTACAGAAAAGTCAGTAAAGTATATCACTTGTTCTTACTCAGTGCTGCTTCTCCTAGGGGAATGAATACTATCTAATGCTCAAATCCTGTTGGCCATTGTACATCTGCATGAATAAAAGCAAAACCTCCATTACCACAATTACTGAAACTACCCAATTAAAAAGAAGCCGTAAAGGTTTTAATTAGTGTGTTTATCAGGAATCGGTGACACTTGATACAGCAATTTTATTTATCAGTTTACTTTTACCTGCAATGCTCTCTTTTGTACTAGTGTCTTAAAGCATTTTCTGTTTGATTTTCTGTTAGAAATATCAAGGCTATCTAAGTGAGTTAGTTGTGGATGACCAGCGTGATATTCCATGGTCTAGAACTCTGCATCAACTCCTGGATCTGTTTATCCTCTGAGGATGTTCCTTACGCTGAAAGCTCCGAATAGCTTTGTTCAGCCAAAATCAGTGTGACACAGCAGGCTTTTTCAGCAAGCATTTTGTTCTGGTTTCTCACAGATGGTCAGGCTCCCAAAAAGACCAACTCCTCAGAGCATAACTGTAGCCCCACGTCTGTTCCAATGCAAGAAAAGGATTAACTTGCATTAAAAAAAAAGAGACATTAATATTATGTTAAGAACGATGTATTCATATACTTTAGTATGTCTGTTGCTTTTTTGGAATCCTGAATACGTGGCTTAATCTTGTGACACAACATTAAAAAATCATGTTTCTAAACTGAAAGGCCAACAGTTCTTGCTGGGTGTCACCTGCAAGGTGAGTGGTAGTTGGCACTGTTGGAGATGTGGCATGAGATGCCAGAGGCAGCTCTGCTGCCTTGCAGTAGCCACATCTGTGGCAGCAGCCGTGGCCATTCCCCAGTCCCGCTGGAGGCAGGGGCAGTGTGCAGCCCCTGACATACTCGGAGTATCTCTTTAAGAGGAAACTCTTTGGATTGTTGTTGCCTTAAAAGTTTAAGGCAGCGTCAGAGAACATTGGACATAGTCTGAGGATGACTCATGGCTTTCAGCTTGTTATTTCCAAACAGCTTGCTCTGTCAGGCTCTTCTTATGTTGAGTGTTTGAGAGCACATAAATACTTTATTAAAAAGAGAGACAGATTGAGACACAATAATGGGGCAATATGAGTACCTGAACTAGATACCTAAATAATACTGCTAATAATTCTGATGAATCATTTTTGAGCAACAGGAGGCACTCCCATCCCACAGGCTAAGCACAGTGCCTGCACAGTTCTCTTAACCTTGAGAATAGAAAATGAGAATTAGCTGAAACCCGTAAGGCAGTACTACCAGTAGACCACTGAACAAGCCATGTACTCTGAACTGCAGCTCCACCAGTCTTTGTTCAAAATTTGTTTACCAAATCAGGCAGTTACTTTTTTTTTTTTTTTTTTTTTTTTTTCCCCCTCCCCACCCCAACCCCCAGCCCCCTCCCCCCCGGTATGTACATAATTATTCATAACTCTTTAGGTGGTAGGCTTAGATGTTCTGGTAGTTGATAAGAACTGAGTGCAACTGTTTGCTTTTATACGGTGTTCATCTGTATGTACTGAGTGTGGCTGTAACTACTGTGGCAATACCGAAACAGTCTGCAGGCTGGATGGAACCTCTGTGTTCAGGATAGTCAGTGATTTCTTTCCTATATGGAATAAGCCTAAATTAGGAAAACAATATGGAAGGCAAGAATCTCTGTTTTAGAGAATGCCATTTATTCTGCTGAGGATTGCAGTAATGGTGTTGTCTGGATCACCCTAATAAAATAAAATAAAAATAATTTTTAAAAAAGAAAATAAAAGGAGCAATACATTTAGATACATGTTTTAAAAAGCAAGAGAAGAGAAAGAAGTTCGTGCAAAAGGCAGAAGAGGGGCTGTAAAATATGAGAAAGTTGAAGTATGTTGGATAGAAATTCTCAAATTTAAATGTTGCTTTTAACGTGGTACAATCTGTGTGAAAATGTTTACTTCACAAAGCTCACATTTGATCCTTCTCTTACTTTAAAATATTTTAATTGCTGTGTAATATTTCTATTCTGTATTGTAGTTTGTATCCTTTGACACACACAAAATCCATGGGAAACTGGTTTCCCCTCTGTGAAAATAGGCCACTGAAAAAATTAAGTAACATGAGCAAAGGACTGCCATCCCTTCCTTTATTCTAATTTGTTGTCCCTCTGTTAATTTTCATAATTTTTCTGTTCTAGCTCTTCTTTCAACTGAAGAATTCTGTTGTTTGACAGAAATAAATTTTTGTAGGTACAGGCACATCCTAATTATTGCATTATGTAACTGCTATTCCTTTCACTTCATTGGAAGCCTGAAGAGTAAGTGGTAAAGAAAGAACAACCAGAATTAAATGGAAAGTGTTGGTTATTAAGACCAACCTGAAATTCTTCATTGTATGAAAGTGACATCCATTACATACTGGTTCAGAGGTAAAATTCACTGCAATAACTTCTTTAACTGTAGTGTTTGCAGTGCAAACAAGGTTAGACTGCATGGTCATCAATCCTCAGTCTTCCGTCAGGTTATCTTTAGTGTAGTGTACAAGCTTGAAAAACTAAATATCTTTTTCTAATTATCTATATAGACAGTATTACTCAGTGTTGCCTAACATGACTTCTGCTTTTTCTTTTTCAAAAAAAGCATTTTGTTACAGATAATTCTTACTGTTTTACAGTAGACATAAAAATACTCAAAATTATAGTTTACCAAGATACTTCATATTAATGTTTTAAAATCATTTCTTCTTCTAGAGTGATGACTGCCTGACTGCACTGGGGGTGGGAGGAGGAAGCAGTTGTCCACTCAGGCAAGAGACAGTAAGTATTATGTCATTTTTTTCAGTGTCCTCTATACCTGTTACCCTGTATTTGTGCTTTTGAAAGCACATTCTTTTTTTTAGCATGTTCCCAAGGATTTTTTTTTTCCACCCTAGATTTTGTAATTCTTACAAACATGTTCATAAACAGCATATCCACATCACTGCTGGTTTTATACCACTCTTGAAAAATAATTTTGTAAACTTTTGATGAATACAGATTTTTTTGCCTGAACTTGGACCCAGACAGAATTTAACGTGTCTGAATGTCACACTAGAAGAAATTCCATTGCTTTGGGCGTCATTGTGAGTGGTTTACATTCTTCTTTGGTCCTAAGGTACATTTCCTGTATCCTCTTGTGGTCATTTTCAGAACATATGTCTCCAGAGAACATAATGGTAATTTCCATGTTTTGTTTAAATTGTCAGGCTTGCTAAACCAGTTGTGTTACAGGATACATTGGTATTTTGATTTTTTTGTTTCTGGGAGACAGACAGTGGGACTTGCTTGATTGATTTGAACTGTTTGTTGGCAATGTTTCCATGTTACTGAATTTTTGTAATTTTTTTCCAAAAAAACAAAATGTTTACACCAGAACTATCTTACAAAACATGCTGCAAAAAGAAGTATTTGTTGCTCTGCCTTTCATTGTTTTTCATGCTGCCAAGTAATTAGTTACAGTCCATTCTTTTTTTTTTTTTTTGAAACTTTAAGCGTCCTCATGATTTTCATTCTACCATTGCTAAGGAAACTTGCCGCTTAACTGAAGTGGGCACTGTTAGAGCACCCCTTACTGGACATGATCATGTGAGCTTCCAGTTCTCTACTGTTTCTCTGTGGTGCTCATTAGTGTGTTCTAGTTTGGTTCTATTCTATAGTTCGTATTTCTGTACTGTTAACATCACCTTTTTTTAGTAATTTTTTAGTAATTACTGTATTAGCTTTCCTAATGCAGAGAAGAGGGTTATAATAAAGGATATTTCATTGTTTAGCTTCTTTTTGTAAGTTCAGGATTACTGAATGTATATTGAGATAAATTTCCCGTCTACTGAGAACTGTGCTGATACTAATTCTTTGATGCTGACCAGCTCACAAATTACCACATAGAGTTTATAGTGATAGAATCATTTCCATCTTTTCCCATTTATAACTGATATAATCTGTTTAATTGGTGACATGGAATTATGAAAATACAAGTGACATTGGCAATATTTTTACACACATATCTCACAGGAGACCTTACTCAAAATAGGAATACAAATGTAAAAAGCACTGCACAGTTCATCAGTCTTGGGATTTAAATGCATGCATGAGTAATAAAATAAGGAAGTTTTTTCTCCAAATACCTATCTTCATAATAACTTTGCTGTCTCCATCAGTCCCCTGTGACCTCCTATCACTCCTAATGATCCCTGTTTCTGACTTCTTTACTTACAATTTCATAGAGGAATGTGAGGTAAAGATTATATGTAGAGAACCAGTGTTCTTTGTGTAAAATAGATCATAATTTTTGCTCTTCACTTACGATGAAGGAAGTGAGCAATTCTCTTATTCTTTCAGTTCACTTGTTTTCTTTCAGTCTTTTCTGCTCTGAAATCATCAGGACAGATTTTTCTTCATAGAGCATAGGAAATAAATAAGAAATTATACGTGATATTTTAATATTCAGAATAGAAAGCAGGGTTCTGATAATGTATTCTGTGTAGTATACATGCTGCTGACCACTTTTTTCAGAAAAGTATACCTTTTTCCAGAAAAATATAGATGCACACTATTTCACTGGCAAATGGATTTATTATGTGAAATAGAATATAAACATTTTTGGCAGATATTTATAAAATTGTAAATGCAAGTCTTTATTTCTAAGGAAAAAAAAAAAGGGGAAAAACAAACTGATCAGAGCAAAACTTTGCAATGATATTTTTATACTAAAGTTTTCCTTCGGTAAAACTGTCATACAGTTGAAGTATTTATTCGAACACATATGCTTCATGAGCGCTCACAAAATGGGATCTGAAGGTGGTGTAACAATTCTGAGAAAGTGAATGTATGAAGTGTGGGGGGTTTTTTTGTTGTTTTTTTTTTTTTCCCTTTTGCTTCACAAGTAAATTGCTTATAAAACTAACAGCTGCTGTTTTGAAGCTAATCTTAGTGAATTGAATGTTCTTAACCATTTCTACAATCCCACAGTCCTTTATCTTGCCTCTCCTGCTGCTTTCCCACCACCCCTGATCCCATTAGCAAAACTTGAGACAGCCTCAGCTTTTACCAAAGTGCAGCTTTGGTTTCAGCTGCTTTTCTGCAAGAGGAAGTGAATGTTGCGCTTTTTTCTCTGTGGCATGGTTGTGATAAAGCTGTGGTGCTCTTATCTCTCTTTTAGGTAGTGGCTCTTTATGACTACACAGCGCATCGATCAGATGAGCTAACCATCCATCGCAGTGACATTATCCAAGTGTTATACAAAGATAATGATAACTGGTGGTTTGGCAGCCTAGCAAATGGACAGCAAGGCTATTTTCCAGCTAATTATGTGGCTGGTGAAAGTAAGTTTACTGCTGTCTTCCTGGTATACCGGTGTGGGTTTAACTGATGGTCCAAGGTTTTACCGTGCTGTACCACTTACTGTTTTGAAGATACAAATTTATGTAGCGTACCGATGGCATAGTGATGAGTTATTGTGATGCAGAAATTACTTAAAGTTAGCTAATCACTTAGCAAGTTGACATACCCAATTTAGGAAGATACTGACACTTAGTTAAACATTTCAGCTTATATAGTATTGGCTTAATTATCAGTCAACTGTATTGATTCTTTGTCTCTTCTTACGTGTAGCCACCTGGTTCATGCTCTTCCTTGGCAATGTTTTAGGACACATCAAACCATTTCACAGACATCTTAAGTTTTTCTTAGGTAATCTCTGTTAGATCTAACCAGTTACTTTTGTAAAAATTCTTTGATTTTGCCCCTACTCTCATGGATAATGCTTAGTTCCCAAATAAGTGGATTTCAGTAGGGAGTTTTAAAAGAACAGTAGTGGTTAAACCTCATATATGAGCATTGAACTTGTTACCAGGTCCTTGTCATTAAAACAGTTCTGATTAAACCTAAGTGAAACTGAACAAATAATATAGTAGGTAACCTGCTGAGCCAACTGATGTAAAGGTGCTCAGTGTCCTGACAGTTGTTAGTATTCAGCTTATGGACATAGTGTGTAGTTGCATGCTACAAGAAATTCATTTACCTTCCTAAAATATCAAACTATCAGTTATACTGGTGTTTAGAAATCTTTTAACCCAACATTTCTCAAGATGTTTTCCCCCATTTTCTAGTTCCTCCCTCTGTCTTTCAAATGAGAGCTAATATTTATGCCTCTTTTCTAAAAAAAAAAAAAAAAAAATACAAAACCCCAAACAAACAAAAAAAACCAACAACAAACAAACAAAAAAACCCAAACAAACAAAAAAAGCTCCTTGGGTTAACTTGATGAGGGTAATTAAAGTTAGCTTAACTACTGCCCTTCCCCTCTGTCCTCCCCTTGCACATCCTGTGCATTTTCTCCTTCCTTTTTTCCTTGCAAAATAAGCCAGAGAGCAGTCTGGAGGAAGGGTCTTCAGTGGTGGCCTGTTGTTCTTAACAAAAAAAAAACAAAAACAAAAAAAAAAAAAAACCAAAAAAACACAAACAAACAACAACAAAAAAAACAAAACAAAAAAAAATTTTTTTGAGACAGTTGTCCAACTGTACAAAAATACCTCTGGTATATCATTTGTTATTTCATTTGGTGACCATCTTGTTATTGAATCAAAAGAAATGCATATGATATATTTGTTAAGTATCAGCTGCATTGCTGTCAGTTTGGACTTTGTTCTTAGTCATGTAAATGTTTGATTGTTTTTATTTTACATAATTACCTATACAAATTACCTATATATAAAGCACATTTAAATCTAAACTTACTAATATAAATAAAAGTTAATGGGAACATTTTGATAAATTCTTATACAAAGTTTAGCTTCAAACATCTTTCACCTGTTTCAATTCACATCCCATTTTTGGCTAGATCGTAATGTCATGATTTTTCACATAAAATAGACAATTTCGTAATTCTTTTATGGCTCTTATAATGGTGAATTATGAATCCTGTTTTCAGAAGAATATGAAGAACCAACTTCAGGATTAGCACCAGATTTTGCTCCTGTTCTACCTGAAGGACCAGCAGAAGCAGAGGACGGTTCTCCAACACTACATAAGGTAATAAATTGGAAAGAAAGGATTCTGTAAGTAGTGGTGGAGTATGTCTTCTGTGTGCCAGGTAGACTGTATTAATTTCCAATCCTTTTTGGAAAAATTTTATGCGTATACCTCATTCCAGGCAAGCAGGTCGATTTTCAGTAGATGTCTGACATTTGTTTCATGTGGAACCAGCAGTTCCATCATGTGGCAATTAAATCTTCTGCCTACTTTTGCGCCATTGTAATAAGTGTCAAATCTCCCACTGACTCCAAGGTTTACAGAAATATCTCACAGCTACCTGAGGTAAATAACAGTTGGAGAAACAACATGGATTTGTCAATACCTGCCATACGTTCAGACACTTGACTGTCATTCTTGGAATATGCACTGCCCACAGATTCTTCAGATATTCTGCGTGAAACTTCCTTATCTGTCAGCTTGCTTAGGAAAAAGCTGTGATGTTTCTCTCTCAAGAGTTTTTCAGTCCGTGTAATAATACCCTAATTAAAGACATACAGTGCGATCATAAAGCCTTATTACCAGACCAGGAGATAAGCTGCGTCTAAAGGTGCTGACTTTGTCAATGGATGTTTCAGTTAAAAAGCTGCTGATGGTTCTCTTGATGTGAATGAAGGAACCATTCCTGTAGGTTGCTCAGGGGAGTGCACTATAGAGACTTCATAGTTTGCAAGAGCAAAGGAAAGAAAGGCTTGTCTTGACTATATCTAATATCTCTTCACTCCCACCGTATGTATACTTACATTGGGTTGCACTTGCATATGGCATTTTTGTTTACATATCACATACTATATTGTATGCAGAAGGATTCCTGTTTCTGGGATTTTAGTTATCAGTCAGAATACAGTACGTACAGAAGAACAAAGAAACAGCAGCCAGGTTTTAGTCAAGGAAAAAAATATCGGTTTGATTTTTATTTTATTTTTCTCAGATCTTTAGAGATACCGCTATGTGCAAAGCAAGCCAAATGACTCTCACTTCTCCAGACAAACAGAGATTAGAAACTTTGCATAGTTTATGTTCCCCTTCTGTGAAGTAAGACAGATGATTGTCTTAAAACATGGGATAGTTTGTAAGCAAAAAAAAAAAGTAATAGAAATTAATACAGTAACTATTAGAATTTAAGATTTTTTTTAATTCCAAAATCTTTTTATCCTTCTTAAGTGTGATTTCCACAGCTATTCATTTAGTCAAATGATACTAACATAACTACTTTAAAAATGTCTTTTGTTCAAATTTCTTCCAAATTACTTGACTTTTCCATGTAATTTTCTAAAATTGAATCTAATATTTTGTTTCTGATTTGCAAGACTCAAAATATATGCTGTTGCTTAGTTACAAGGTTTTCTTTTTTCAGATGCTTTATCTAATCTTTGCTGCATAATATATACTGCAGTGTTCAAGGTTAAAACACTCAGAGCTACTTCTATTAACTTTTTTTGTGTAGCTTTTGTTTTTATTTCTCTAGGTGAGCAGAGAAGGTAACATTTAATAAATTATTGAGTACAGATTACTCACTTGGCAGTCTTGTTGAAGCCAGCTGTCTTGTTGAAGCCAACTGCTATATATCGAATTACTAAGTGTTTTGTTTCTGACTATACTTGAAAAACAGAATTAATCACTACACCGAGTAATAATAATTAATCTGAAGTATCATTTACCTCATCGTAGCTGAGAAATTCATAGCCCAAGCCATTGTCCAAGAAAGACAAGGGTGCATTACTTCCAGATACTCCTGTAAAAGCAGACTGGAGCAAATATAGGAAAAATTACAACATTACAGGAAAGCATGAAGTTTTCTTTCATCTATTGCCTACAGTGCTGGAGGCAAGGAAGGTATCTCAGAGGGAATATGTTGCTATAGTCACCCAGTTTTACTCATACCCAGATTAGGAAAGAGAGAAGTGCTGAGATACTGTCATTAAAGACTTGATCATTTTTATCCACATCTTTTTTTCTGTTTTAATCTAGTAGGAATCTAGTTGATTTACTGGATCAAAATACTCCTGTGTGCACTATTGCTATTAACATGTGCAACTAGTATTTATTATTCAACTTTGTGAGAGATAATGTTTGATTAGTTTTGATAGCTTGTATTTTCTCAAGTGTCTATGATTGACATATTTTTCTAACAATAATTTTTGTATTAGTAGTAGCACTTCTTTAGTAACACTCAGCTTTAGTAATATTTCATCAAAATACTCTTCGATTCTACTGGCACTTTGAATTAAATTGATTGCATATTTAATAATTAGTTGGAATTTTGTAGTAGTCTGTATAGTACATACAGATACTCAGAAGACATAGTGAATAAAGCATACAGTAACAGTTCAAAACCAAGCAAATATGTTGCTTTTCGTCTTGCACAGCATCCAAAGATGCTGCAAAATCATAGAGAACCCAAGGAAATTAATGAAACATTTTTAAGTCCTAGAAAAAATAGTGTAAGAGGGTATACTTACAAAATTAAGCAAGCAAAGAATGAGCAGTGAAGAGAGTGTATAAAATAGTACATGATGTAGAGATGAATTCGATGTACTCTTCCTTCTTTTTTTTTTTTTTTTTTGTTTTTTTGTTTGTTTGTTTGTTTTTGGGGTTTTTTTTTTCCATTCTGCTGTTAAACAAGATCAGGGGACCTTAAGCTGGAATGGGACACATTTAATATGGGTAGAAGGAAATTTTTGTTTATGCCATGCTTAGTTAACTTGGTGTACCAAGCTACTACAAGACACTATTAAACTTGTGCACTCAGGGATTAATTTTTTTAATAACGCATTTTAGGCTGAGGTAATGGTTGAGATTCCAAAAGCATCTAAATGACTGGAAAACACCAATCTGGTTGATTTTTTTTTTAAATTTCAAGTTATGTCAACATTATATAAATCATCAAGATTATAGTGAGTTGAATCAAATGATGACTCAATCTCTCTAAGACTTGCAGTGCCTTTAAGCATAATGGTTTTACAAAAGCTGCAGTGTTGCATTGAAGAAACAAATTGTCATTCAGCTGTTTGTTGTAATAAAGGAAGGTTCTACAGCTCTTTGTCTTTAGGCAATACCAGATACTTCTGAGACAAAGCTGCTAAGACGACCACTGAGGGGGCTGATCGGTTATGGCAGTTCCTGTGTTGCAGCAGTGACACAGCAACTTTTCTTCCTTTCATTTTTTTTTTTTTTCAATATAAGAGCTGATGAAGGAAAATGCCATTTTCTTTTACATAGGAAATTAGAAAAATCATCTTTTTGTAATACCATATTGGTTTTTTGCTTTTTTTGCTTTGGCAGAAAATGAACCTTTTTTTTTTTTTTTTTTTTTTTTTTTTAACCCAAAAATATTTATCAATTCATTAAATTCTTTCTTGAGTTGTTACCACAAGCAGGAAAATATAACTGAATTTTTTGGTCGTGTTTGGTTTTTGGCCACAAACATGTTTTCCCAAATATTTGCTTATATCCAGGTCTGCTATACCTTTTGTTCTTTCTGATTTTTTTTTGAGGAATACTTGAATATTTAGTTCTATTAAGACTGCAAAACACAGTTACTGTGAAAATCATCATAGTATTTACTCATGAGATTTTGCTACCAGACAGGACTATATAGGGCACTTAAAATGTAGAATACTACTATGGTTTTAATTACTGAGAATACCAGATAGTCTAATTAAAAATAGCTTTCCAACTGCAGATATTATAAATGCATATCTTGCTAATCGTCAGAATTTTATGAGTGAATAAAATGGAATCATTAACATTAGAAGAGTATGTAATACTCAAAATCCAGTATTAATCTTTGCAAATAATAAAAAAAAGTTGTAGTTCAAAGAACCTGCTTTCAAAATGCTGTCTACCATCAGCTTTGCATTCATAACATAATAATTTTATGCAAACCTTGTTTTCCTGCCTTATGAGTTACTTAACTCCTGAGCCACAAAATTAGGTCATAATCATCTTTAATTACAACATACATCTAAACTGCCAATAGAAATTTAATGGAGTGAAGTTCTCACTGCACTGATGAGGAATCCCAAGAAGTACACACGGACCTGTCATCTCACTGCACCAGTAAATGTGCCGTTTTCAGATTCCTTAAAACAAAGGCAGAAAAGACAGGAATTCAGATAGGATTCTATTAGAAACCAGAATTTGGGTTTTGCAAAATATTGGCAAATCAGAGATATTTCAAAGTCAATAAAGTGTCGGGTTTTTTGGCCAGAAATGTTCCACTGTCTATAAAATCTTGGGAATATGTTTAATAATTTAAGATGGCGTACTAGACATAAAATGCATCTAATTGGATCCTGAATGTTAAATACTCAGTTCTACATTATGTAAGAATAGTGGGAAGTAGTAACAGATTAAAACAAAGCAGTAATTTAAAATTTCCATTAGAATTGTAAGAAAATACTCTTTCTAGTGTATTTATGTTTGAAAAATTATGTTAAGGTATAAAATAATGGTCATAATCATGAAAAGAAAAGGGTTACCTTCAAGAACTACATCATTATTGCACAATTTGGATAACCTATCCAGAGATCATCAAAACTTGATTTCATGTATATTTAAACAAAGTTTGGGATTATCACTGTTCACATAAATAATTCATGTTCTCACTCTTCTTCCCCTAGAGTAGGTTGTTGCCACACTTTCTGAATACTTAGCCTAGCATGTCTGAAACTAACCTGCCAAGCAACTGATGCTTTTCCCCTGGGCTTGAGCTCTTTCAATGTGGGTGTTTTTGTGGGCTCAAAATTCTTAGATCTAAAAATTTCAAAAGCATAGAAAACTTGCTCCAAAATATTTCCTAAAATACTAGCTAGAAATTTTTCTGTTGATTTCATCAAAAACTTTCATTTTATAGTTTGTGCTGTTTCTGTTTTCTCCTTTAATGGTGCCTTTGTTCACGTGACTGGGGAACACTTGACTGATTATCTTTTTGGAAGAGGAGGGACTAGGAAGATGTGATAATGTAATGAGGGAAACATTAAAGAATTAATACAGTGGAACTGTTGTAGTGAATAGAGCTGAAGACTTTCAACACGTCATGAAGTGTGTTCATTTTCAAAGTTCAGAGAGTTTGCAGACCCTAAAAAATGTGATATTCAATTGAATTGGACTATATTACAGTGAAGTTCATAATTCTGGATTTCATTTGTGCCTAATATGATTACGGATCTGTCTTTCCGAAGACATTGACATCTGGGTTGAAAGAAACTGCTTTTCTAGAATCACACTTGCAAAGCTGCTGTGTGATCTTCCATATAAACTGTTGAATACGCATTATAAAATAGATGCATCTTTGCAAATCCTACTTTTGAGATAGTAATTACTTTGATTATTCTCAAATAAATTCTTCTGAAGGAAATGTTACTATGGTACCATCTATGAGGAATGTACCATTTTTCTTTAAATGTTACCCAACATTAAGATATTTCAGCTTTTTAATTCTGTAATTTCGTTGTTTTAGGTATTCTGTATTCCCTTTAAAATGCAGTTTCTACTGTTCAAATTGAATTACTCTCTCTTAAGCATGTATGTTTCTACTTTATTTGTAAGTTTTCAACTTCAAAACCACCTCTGTGGTTCCTGATGCATTATGTCTCAAAAAATGTTTCCACCTCTGTCTATAGTATTATTGGAGTCATTGAAAGAAAAGGTATCTGCTTTATAAGCAAATACCTGTTGGGAAAAAAAAAAAAGAAAAGATGAAATCACATCCATAGTCATTTGCTGAAAGTGACTGGTCTGTTTAAAGATAGGAAGAATCAGGCTGAGTCACTGAACTGGTCAAGCAGAACCAAAAATACTAGTGAGGGTCACTTACATTATTAAGATAGCTCTCAGGAGCAAGCTAACTTCTCTCTTCCCCATGGTTTTCTGATTGGGTCCTCATAGCCTCCTTCTGAACAGGATTGAACTATTTTTATGCAAATTTTCATGCAAAGCTGTAACCACAGGTAAATTCCCAGGGGCCAAAACTTCAAGACTGAAAACAGCTGTTCTAAACCATAGTGCTTCAGTCTGAAGTATCTTTTCTCCACTCTTCCCCCCGCTTTTGTTTGTTGTCCCTCAAGTAGTTGTCCAGTTGACTTGATTTCTGAGATGCAGTATTTGTCAGTGTTGAGCCATGACTACAGTTCTCACCCACCAGATTTCCTGCTGGCTCTCCTAGCCCTGAACAGGCCTGGGATTTTGCAGTTTCAAAGACAAGACAAGGCAAAGTCCTCTCCGCCTGTGGCTCTAGCATTCATGGATGGAGAAGCTAGCGAATGTTGGCTTAGTCTGAAACACTTCAGTGGTTTAGCTGTTTTTTATGAGGAAGATAACAATTCATGCCCATGTGTGTTGTATACAGAACCACAGTTTCTGTTAGATACTCACTATTAAGTTAATACTGCTAGACATAAAGGTTACAGTATGGTTAATCTGATTTAGATAGGCTTGTTCTTTAAAAACACTAGAGAGGGAAAAAAGCAATTATAAGTTAATTGCATTTTAAATAGGAAGGTCATGACAAAAGAAATATATGTAATTCCAGTAAAAAAGCTTCCTGCCATTTTTTCATTTAGTGAGGAAATGTGTGCAAGGGTACAGAATAGCAGGAAAGAAAAAAATGAGTGTGATGTGGTGTCACAGCACTTCTCCCAAACTTGACTCATTAGAACAGTTTTGACAGGAGGCATCATTGTGGTTCTGAGGAGTTCAGTACATTTCCATAAAACAAAATACGAACTTACTACTGAGTTTAACATCCTAGAGACTAGTCTGAAAAGACACAACGACATGTTCATTCTTGCCGTCTGTGATCCAGTGAATCTTTAATTGGATCGAGTTCTGTAGAAACAGATCCTATGCGAGAGTTCCCCTGTGCATAGTAGGCTATAGAGCAAGAACATTTACTTTCATGGCTTGAATCACCTAAATAAATCACCTGCTCCACTCCATTCTGTCCACCTACCTCTTTGTCACGGAACCTCTGCAGACCATCAGTCTTAGAGACAACTCTGTACAGCCTAGAGGAAAGCACTACCAAAGAGGTAGACTTGGGATGAGACTTTGTTCCTAGTATTTCTTTTAGATGCCCTCTGCTTCAGGGTTCGCGAGGAAGTGCGTTCTAATACATCCAGTTGTTTCCGTGAGTTGCACACTGAGGGTTTAGTGCTTGACTTACTGCTGTGGACTCTACCTCAGGGGTCAGGAACTGTTATGCTTTTGTGTATTTAGCCTTTAATTGTTTTGCCTTGGTTGCTTCTTCTGTGGAGACACTGAGACAATGTTAAGTATCAAAAAATGAGCTGTAAAGCAAGCAAGTCTTCTAGAAAGGGAAGTATATATTTTTTTACAATTTTTATTTTTATGACAGTAAACAAGGCGAAAGAAACTTCAGAAAATCAGAGCTTCTGCAGCTGACATGAAGTTCTCCTTTCCTTCTGGTGGGCTGTATTGTCCAAAGAGTCAAGAATTAAAATATGGCAACAAAATTGAACACCCTTGTTGGCACACTGTAAAAAGGAGCTTGTATTTTGTACTATGTTCAGTATTTGTTCTTGTGAACAGAAAAGTTCAAGATATTCATAATTATCTGAAGCATTCATATTTTTTCCTTTAAAGCAAACACAGCCCCAATAGTTCTGTATTAATATTTAAGCTCTGCAATCTGGATGAATTTAATAGCTAACACTGTATCATTTACAACACTAGGTTTGCTGAATCTTAGTGCAGACACAGTGACAATAGTTCAGAGCTGTTTGGAGCTTCCTGTGAGATCTGCCCATGCATAACAAGTGGTCAAGAGGTCTAGAAACAGGGAAAGAAGAGAACAGCCTCTTCAGCCCCTCCATACTCTAGGCTTCTGTTCTGATGCCTGCTCCTTACGTTAGCATGTCCTTGATGAATTCTCAGTGTCTAAGTGTTACCACTACTTCCTTAGCCAAATACCTCCTGCCTGTTTTCCCAGCCTCCACTCACTCATTCGCTGTGCTCCTGCTGCTGCTTCACCCCCTTGTTGCTCCAGCTCCTGCACTGCCGCCTTCTGCTGACCCCACTTGTTCCTTCAGTACTGCTACTGCTTACTCACATCACTGGGATGGGAAAGGTATTTCAAGGAGTGGACTGAGGGACACAGAGGTATGCAGGGTAAGCAAGAGAAGGTAGTGGCAATAAGATCTGCTTCAAAAAGGTCTGATACCTAGTTCCTGCCTCATTACATGCTTGAAAGTTTGTAGGAATGAAGTAAGAGCTATCGTAGTCAAACAGTGCTCTGGACAACTGGAAGTCTGTCCCTACAGACCCTAGGAATTCTCACTAGTCGCCACGTTAGGTGAACACAGCTATCTGAATGTGTCTATTTGTGTGCTTTGCCTTCCTTGGTACTCATACTGAAATGCTGAGCTGGAATATATGAAAGGCTATGTGATCAGTTGTTTTTAAAACAGATCGTAAGAACCTTCAGTTAGGCAGCTTAATTAAGTGGATACTTCTCACTGTAAAACAAGGACAATATTCTGTGTTTTGATATCTGAAAGTACTACAAAATTTAGGCCGTTTTTAATAAGTCAGTCTTCTCTAGTGGCACTTCAGGGAATTCTGCTAGACTGTTCTTTGGAAAGGTCCATATTCGATTATAGTATTAGTACAATGTAGAGATTCTGTAATATTTACTTTAAAAGGAGGGTAACAAATATAGTTCAACATCATTCACATAGGATTTTCAGAAATATATTTTGTTTTGGCTGCAAGTGAAGTGAATTCATGATTTTGTATGGCAAGGAACCACAAGGCTGTGAGTGCTGAAGAAAGTATTAGTTGCTTAGAGTCATTCCCTTTACAGCACTCACTTGTATTTTCATATCAGTGGCATTATATTTCCTCCTTTGGTGTTTATTTTTGCCATTAACTTAGTCTGAAGTTTATTACTATATTAACAAGGATTTTGTGTGTGAAGTAGAAGAATTTTCTTCCTAACCCTGCCAATTCTACATTATTATATTATAATAGGCTGACTTCTGTCACCTGGAGTGATTTTAACTGCTTTTGACTGAAACTTGCAGGCTTAAAAAATAGAAAGGTTTCTCCTGTTAAAACTATGCAATAAGATGGCTTTTTAGCATTCTGTCTTTACTCATGTAGTAGAGGAAATGATTTAATTCTTTACAGACCAAGTGTATTTTAAGCTGACTTCAAGCAGATTCGTAATCTTCTGTTTCTACACGTACCTGAAAACTGCCTTTTATTTGCAAGTAGCTTGCTTTTTTTTTTAAAGCATGGTACTGTTTCCTTGCTTGTAACCACATAGGAGTTAACATTTTATGGCTGATAGACATTCTTTTTCAAACGAGGTATATTCTCTCCTTATTCAGGAAGCTGGTGGGTTTTCTATGTACATGTGTTGGCCCCATTGTCTGTCTGTCTTTTTACCTTCCTGCTTTTTTTTTTTTTTTTTCTTTTACAGATGTCACCAGTCATCAGTAAGTCAGGGGACCTAAAATTTAGCTTGGAGCATGACACAGATAGAGAATCACCTGCAACACAGTAAGCAAGAAATACTTAAAACAATTTCCGATGTTATTTCTATAGCTACTGTTAGAAAACTGTGAGAAATGTTGGAAGGATTATTTTGTTTTAGCAAGCGAAAAAGAAAAGGTAGCTTTAGGATAATCATTCAAAAAGTGCTTCACACATGAAACGTGAAGGAAATAACAGTTTGTATGTACACACACATACAACACACTCCCCCAAAAAAGCAAGGACTATAACGTCTATGCGAATCAAAAGTCAGGGATATGGGATTGCCCTGTGTCATCCCTTAGCTATGTATTAGGCTTTCTTGCTACAAATTGCAAACTATTTTTGCATCTTCTAAAACTTAATGTAAATTGCAAAAGGTTGTCACAGACTGAGAAGATGTGAGCTAACATCTTTGATTGTGACACTTTTAAAAATTGTATGTATTCATTGTGTGAAAGCTGTAAGCAGATAAGATCTCAGGATTTTGAACAAGAGCTTCCACAATATCTCTAGCTATTGCAACCATTTATACTTCAAAAAATACATCTGAAAATGCTTCCTGTGTTTGCCATTACAGGTATCTGTCATCTAAGCAAAGTTATTTCACTGATCGTTTTCCAGACTGGTCCCCTCCCCATATAAATAATCTGTGCATATACAGTGTAGATGCAGATACATATCTAATTTTAACGTACCTTTAAATCTTAATTTTCTATCTCTAGCTGTATCTAGATGTGAAAATTAATTGTGAGTGGAAAGTCTAACCCTCATGTATAATGAAGAATGGGCTGTATAACTACGCATGACTGAATTCAGCATTGAATTTTGGGCATAAATGTTGTGATAGAATATGCACTAAGGAAGGAAATGCCTTAAAAGTACAGTTACTGTGAATGTTGATGCAGTCTGTTAGAAGCCAGTATCAAAATTTTGGTATGACTCAACTCCGTTAGTGGAACGCTGGGCGTCCACTGAAGAATCTGGAACCACATATTTAAAATGTGGAATCAAATGATCTAATAAAATTCAAGAATTTTGATTCATATCAAAGGTGAAATATTAATTTTAATGGAAACTAAGGCTGTCCTGAGAAGAGGTCACACTGAAGTGTCATGCTGAAGAAGCAGAGCCCCAAAACAGCTTCAGTTACACTTCAGAAAGGTGAGAGAGGACACCTACATGCCTGAGTCACTGGAATGTGCTCCCTCCTCCTCCTGAGCTGTGGGGAGCAGGAGCATCATGGAGATGCCAGTCTGAAGTCATGCTTCATGTCATTGCTGTCCCACCTGGGCGAAGGGCAGTGTTGCAGAGCCTCATTTACAAGCTTTCGGGGTACTGAGCCCTTCATACCTGCTGATTACTGAGGGAGAGTGAAAGATGCCATGAGGTAGCATTCAGTGCTATACCTTGTCAAGGGAGAACTAATTTGAAAGGGAGGAAGATAGACATGTCAGACCTACACAGTACTGTATTTTCCTTCTATGTACAGGACTTTCTAGGCCTTATTATGCTTTTGCTGCATATTTCCCTGGTGCTTCTGTTTTGTCTGACATGGAGAGGGCAGTTTTCACTGCATATTTTAAGATCAGAATGCAAATCTGAGTAATGGCTTTTCCTGATCTAAAGCTTGAATCTGAAAGTATGTACTGTGCCAGCTCTTCTATGAACTACAACATAATGAAATGTGATTCACTTGTTTTTGTAATTACAGCAGTGACTGCACGTACCGAGGTTTTTTTTGGAAAAAAATTACAAGTTTTTGGCTTACGTTGAGAGCTAGAAGAGAGAAGGATCTTCTGGCATTTCTGATGCCACTAGTTTGAAAGGCTGTTCCATATTTCTGTTCATAGGCTATATAGTACAGATTAGATAAAACATATCAGAAACATGGCTGCATATTTTTAATGAAATCTCTGACTTTGTACCTTAAACTGTGAGCTGCAGAGGCTGTGACAGAACTGTAGGTTTTTTGTGCACTGCAGTTGATGTGTCTTGAAATATTCTTAAAAATGGCATGCATGCAAGTGTTGTGATCTTAACTGGAAAAGTTTTCTATTAAAAAGTAATATCAACAGGACTTGAGATCCAGTCCAATCTGTATTTAAATAGTTGCCCCACCTAAAACATTCTGTTATCTTCCTGTTGTCTACAAAAATACACTTACTATCCGTGTCACGTGCTGGTATATGATAGGAATTATGCAGTAAATAAGCTTCATAAGAATCAAGTGAGATGTGACTACCAAGTATGCACTTTCACTATGGAGAAGTGAAACTATTAGCAATTGCACAACTCACTTTACCTTTCTTTGAGTCATCCAAATAAATGATTGCTGTTTTGCCTATTTAGAATAGTATTCATTATGGCCACAATACCCGATGTAAAAGAAAGTGAACAGCAAGCCCTTATGACACACCCATCTTTAAGAATTTCTGGATGGAAAATACAATTTTACAATAGGAAAACAAATTTTATTCAAGATGGTAGTAGATTTTTATCTTAGCCAAGCAGTTAACCTGTCTTCTACAGACTAGAAGAAATAGAGCAATGTCCACAGACTAGAAGTGAAGTGAACTAAGGTTTTTATCAAAGTACCTCAAAGGTTCAATACATTATCACATCTGATGTTCAAATAATAAGAAGATGGAAATTACTTCTCAGAATTTGCATGGCTTTATACTGAAAATCTGCATAGAAACCTCACCCTTCGCAATTATTAATGATTAGATACTATTTGTCAGTACAGACATAATCTCCTCAGATATATTCCCATTGTACAGTTTTGTTGCGCTACACTAGGTAGTGCTCTCTGCATAATTTTAAAAGTGATTACGTGTGAGACCCAGCTGAACACTTGTTTGGTAGATTGGTACTTATATTACTGATTAATTATGGATTTGTACCCCAGTTTCCTCATGCAGCAGTACTTCTCAAATTGTTCCAGGAATTCTAATGCAGAGGGTCTTAACTCCATAACTTTTTCCTTAGGGTGTTCCAGTACTAGAGCTGCAGCAGTTCATGTATTCATGAATATACAACTGAGCTTAAAAAAAAATTCAAACTATAGGCAGATAGTTATCAGTCCATTAGCAAGGCTGATGTGTAAACATTTTCATCTATAAAATATGATTATATTAGGACAGTATGACCAACAGTAATGCTCTTGCAGCACCCTTTTTGGGGAAACTGCACACATCTCATTACATTCTTTAGTCTTGATTGATCTGCTTGCTTATGTGTTTCAGCAGCATTCAACATAACAATTCTGGTCGCAAATCAAGACTTGTTTGTGCTAGGCACAATACGTATTTTGAACAAAGACAGTACCTGCCCTTGAAAGGTTACAGTCAAAGTATTACTACATATTTATAGTTAAATAAAGTTGCAACTTCTGCCAAGGGTGGGAATTCATGGTAGAAGTCTGCATAATCCCTGGCATCATCTCCACGGCCACTCTAATTCCCTTGTTAAAGGCACTGACTGAGAAAGATACAGGAGTTTGACTGATGCTTCTGGCATTGTATGAAGTCTGATAAGCATAAATGGACATTAAAGTGATTTCCGATTCTGTAAATCTGTCATAGTTCAGGTAAATTAAAATGGAAGAACTAATGTTACGTACTTTGCCTGCTTGTCTTATTATTGTTGAATAAATAAACCAGGAATCTCTCTTAATTTGCAAGTATTTTGGTGTTTGAGCTTAGGAAAGAAAAAAAGAAATACAATGGCTTTTATGAGAGGAGGAGACTGGTAATTTGTATTTTTTAATTACATCTGTTGACTATTGATCAAGACTAGCTGATTTTTAAGATCGTGAGCAGTTCTTTTCAAAGCACTCCTATGATATGTTAAAAAGTAAACTAGTGGAGTGGTCTCCTATTTTGTCTTCATAGTTTTTCTGTCTTTGTTCTGCTGTGGAATAGTAGTTTTTGTAGCTGTTTCAGCATTGTACTCCAGGGAGACAGGCAGACAATTGCTCTAACACATCAGCTGTGGGTGGAAAAAGCTCTAAATTTGGGCTAACTTTGTGTTTCTTTTACTCTTTTTATATCCACTTTCCTCTAGAGGTGCAAAGAAAAAGAAAAAAAGGATACAGAGGAATGAGAGAGAAAATCAGCACAACTTAATGGATCTCAATACTCCTGTATCATCAGTTACAGCTAATGGTGTTGAAAATGAACCTACAGCCCATGGGGTGGAATTGAAGAAGAAGAAAAAGGCAGTGAGAGGATCAAACTTAAGCACAAATGGAAAGACAAATATTGCCTTTGAGCCTGAATGCTATGACTTATAGTCATCATTTAATTCCAAATACTGGTGTGATATTCAGTATACATGTTGAAGGCTACAACTAGAATCTCGCTTCTAGGATTAACAAGAAACAAATTAAAATACTGAGATATGCAGTATGGCACCAGTTGTAACTTACTAATGGTGTAAACCTGTTTTGGAAGACTTTTGCCCTGGGTTGCTTGAAATCAACAGAACTTGAATGTTCAGCTCCTCACTGGACTGGTAAAATCTGAAACTGACTTCCATATTTCATTAGAACCCCACTGACAAGTACAGTGTTAATCAATTTAATGTCTGATTACACCTTAACTTAGACAGTTCTGTAGAGTGTAGATCAATCCATTGGGAGCAGAGAATCAAAATGAAAAAGGGTGATCTGGAGCAAAACAAGCTCAACCACTACATAAGTTATTAAATTAGCATTTTAAAATGTGTTGTAAGTAAAATAGAGGAGTGTTCAGAATGGTAGAATTCCAAAGGGACATTGACATTGCAGTGTACCTGAAAACATAAGCTTTTTTAAAATATTTTCCTGACAGCAACTGTTCACTTGGACTGCATTTTTCAGCTCTAAAGCAAATTGTTGAGTAGCTACCCATGCAACTACACTGTCTTCAGTGGGACTACTCGTGCTTACCAATGTAAATAAGTGTTGAAAATTCCAGGCAGTTATATTTTTCAAATGAAGTTTTCTGCACATAATAAAGATGCATTGCAATTTTGTCAGAGTTCCTGGCTGCTTTGACAGCAGTCTTGCCAAATATACTTTCTGTTATCTGAATGAAATATTTCATATCCAGCTGTACTATTTGTTTTACTTATAGTTCTTAATCACTTGTGTCATTAATCTATTTATTTTTTTGAGTATTATGTTATGAACTTTTACTAATGATTTCACTAATTATCTACTAGTGCTAAATAATTTATGTTTTATATTAAACGAAACACTTTCTATCAGTTGGTGTTGGTATTTTTTCTGGCTGATGATGTCCAGTTTATTTTTACTCTGCTAGGAAATTCTTCCTCCTCCCCCTCTGAAGCAATAAATAACATAAAATTAGAAAGCCCTTATTTAGTAGACAGGGCACTTGATTCCATTAAAAAAAGAAGTGAGAATAACAATGTTGGGCACTGATGTGTGAAGTGCACCCAGATGCAGAGAACTAGTTGCTATATATTGTAATATCTTTCCTGCACGTGTTTTAAAGCCAGAAAAATCTGTAAACTTACTTCTTTTGAGTAAAGTAAGGCAGCACATACTCCTTTTTTCCTCCACTGGTAATTGTTCTTTGCTAACACTCCTAGCTTTGCTTTGCCTAGAGCACGTGTATGGAATCCTGCCCTAAATGAGGCTTGCATATGTGTACTGGAATCTTTTTAATGTCTCTTTCCCCAGTCAGAGGTGATGTAGAATTATCTTAGTCCTGGGGCTGCCTGAGACTAGGAAGGCTCCTAGCCTCTTACGTCTCTGCTTTTGCAGTATATTCCAACTCATCATTCTGTGTGACATAGGATTTAAAGATTTAATAAAAGAGAAAAATCTCAACATCTTACGTTTCTTAATATGTCCTGGGTCACATTTAAAATAAGGGCAGAGCATGACATCAGGCTTCAAGTCAGGGAGAGCTGAACAGTAGCCAAGATCTGGGAGCTCATTGGAAAGCATTGTAAAACGTTAATTTGGCATTGTGGACACTGAAGACAGAAATAACACTTCAGATAAACACCACAGAGAGATGGTAGTTCTAATCAAAGGCACAGCACCTCCTTTCATGCTTGTGAACTAGGGCTCCAATTATGTTCACTGCTCTGAAGCTGAATAGAGCTGCTTTGCCACACTTTCCAAATTGAGAGGAGAGGCAGAAGTAGTGTCTTCCAAGGCACGGTTCCAAATAACAATTAAGCAGAAGAAAACAGATAAGAGCCAAACATGAAAATGCAGGGAGTTGAAAATAAACTTTTTGTAATGTTTTCTTGTAATTGCAATAGCTCTTGTTTTGGTTTTTGGTTTTTTTTGTTTGTTTTGTTTTTTGTTTCCTTCCTACCACATGGTTGGTTAGAGACTTCTATTCCTTTATACCTTGTCACTGCGGTACTAAAGTTTTCTGCATTCATTTAATGGAAAATGAACAAAAAGATCTGAAATTTAAAAAAAAAAAGTCTAAGTGGTCCTTCGGTATTAAAATTTGAACCTTCGGTCTAAAAATCTCGTAACAAATTTTTAACGTGATGTAATGGCAAAGGGTTTTTACCTTTTGTTTATAAATATGGCTGATACGTTAATTTTGAGAAAAACTTTTCAATGTTTGTAGATTATTCTTCAGACATTGCTGTTGGGATTTTAAATTTACAAGAAACGGTAAAACTTAAAAACTGGATTAGGGTAAGGTTTTTTAAAAAAATTAGTTTTTAAATTAAACTTTATATAATTCTTCTTGTTTCTGTGTTAATGCAACATACATATTTCTTAAAATCACTTTAAAATGAGCATTGCGTACATTTGCTGAGAATTGTCTAAGTATTTAAAGGACTTAAATTTCAGTGGAAAAAAAGAATTTGGGAAGGATTCAGATTGCCTACTGAAAACTTCCCTTCTTTTTTTTCAGTTGAAGAGCTACATTAAGTATTCTAAAATATGGGTGTCCTGCAGAATTGCTCGATGAGCCATGAATTGGAATACAAGAGTTACAAAAGTCTATTTGAGGAGTTTTTAGAGGGTGATACAAGTTCATTGCTGGAACAAAGGAGATAAAATCTTGTTTAAAAAAGGGTAACTATTAGATATTTATAACTGCCTTGTGATAACAGCATAATAGGTCTTTCATTGTTCTGGTGTTTTTAGGTTTTTGTGTGTGTGATTACAACGTACAGTTCCTATTACATTTTTATGATCTGGCAGAGACCTCGAGAGCGATGCATGAATCAACAAAATACAAAAGAATGGATGGCACGTTTTCCCTGTGTTTCCCAATAGCCATTAGATTGCGTTTATTTTTTTCCTTAAAGTAATTTGAGGAACAGACATCATTTAACACAATAAATGTATTTGTAGCATCACTTAATTCAGAAGGCAGTAGGGGATGGATCACAGTCAAACAAGGGCTAATGAGAACACAGAGGAACATGACAACTGAAAGTCTCTGTTGACTAGTGAACTAAATCTGCCGGCTGGACCCGATTGTCTGATGGAGAATTGAATGTCAGGATCATTTAGGGTTAACAATGGCCCATTACAAGCCAAAGCAGACAGCTATGAAAAATAGCCGGCATGGTAGCCATTCTGCAGAGTCTGTGGATACAAACTTGATAATGAGGCACTTCACTACATCCTTCTGCTCTAATTACTAAGGTGAATAGGAAATACTTCATTTAAGGCGGGAACAGACTAAAGCAAAAACACTTGTTTGGTAAACACAAAGAGTAGTGGGTTTTTTTAATGATCCTTTTCTAGCATGTATGAAATTGTATGTATTCAGTGCAACCTATTTTATGGACATGGAAATTGGGAGAGGATAGAAGTAGTTTCTGAACAATGGAGGGAGGCTAGAAAGATTCATGTACAGGTTTGTACTGTGAGGTTTTTCCCTTCTCATTCTGTCCAATGACTATCCAGAATGTTTTGGACAAAATAAATTACGGATGTACACCTGCACTTGTAAAAACAAATTGTGTTAGTTCAAGGAGTTTTATTGCTTAGAGTATAAAATATGTGCATTAGGAACAAAACTGGTGCGTGCAAGGAATAGAAACGAGAGGATGTCTAAGAGAGGGAAATAAGCAACTTGAGAAGAAAACTGCTGTCTGGGGGAGATTTGCAAGAATGAGGCAATTAGAAATTGGAACTTAAGAAGAAGGAACAGAAGATAGTGATAAAGCGTGTTATAGCAGAGCTTTGGTCATGTTTTTTTAGGCTTTAGAAATTAAGGTATTTAACCACTTCACTTTTTAATATATTTAAGTTTTGTGCCATTTACAGGAATGTTTTGGATGAACTCTTAGAACCCATGAGGAATATTCTGCTGTGTCCCTTCAGTAACTCGGTACTGTCCTAACTCTGAGCTACAGCCTGGAGAGGTCCATATCCTCAATGTCTTGCAGTGCTGTTGGGATAGATGAAGCTTTGGTTCCCTAATTTCTGGCACAGGTGTTCAGAGGGCACCTTTTATTGTTGTCGGCTGTTGCAATACGCACCTCTGCCTTCAGTCATACCCTCCAGCCCCTTTCTCAGTGAGAGCAGCGATGCAAACTCCTCTGTTTTGAACATTGAATATCATATGATCCTTTTCTTACGCATAGATGTGTTCTTCTCACAGTGGTTCTGTCAAGACTTTTGTCCTTTGTTCAGTCTGTTGTATGCTGGTTGCTTGCTGCCTGCCCCTTTAGGAGGGTCTGTTTTCCAGCTGTGACACGTATACATGAAGTCCTGGTCCTGCAAGCTGCTTGGAGTAGATGGACCCCTGTACTCAAAGCTCCAGCAAAGTCATCAAGGATTAGGCTTTCAGCAGCAACATCACGGCTGTAGTTTATGCTTTAGTGTGCGCTAGACTGAACAAATATTTTCTAGCTTGCACTCGGAAATGATAGCTCTGCTTTTCATCTAAAACTCCAGCCACCTGATATTTTGTGCAGACTGTGTCAGGCCAAATGAATTTGCACAGTGTTTGACTGTGGCAAACAAGTTTACAAGTCCTGTTTAATGCTCAAATGCAAATACTCGGCAGAAACTGCAGATGCCACTTTTAGCGGAAAAATGTTTCCACACCAGTAAAGCAATATCAGTAAAATCTATGCTCTGAGCAGACATCAAATTTTTGTTGCACTTATGTCGCCTGCACAGGCAGGGAGTATAATAAACTAGTGTGTAGCAGCTGTAAATTTTCTG